CCCCTACTCCCCGCTCCCTCCCTTCCAGCCATGCTGCCTTAACTCGCCGCTCCGGGCTCCCGCGGACGGGGCCCCGGGCGGGCCGGCGGGGCTGGAGCCGCGCCTGTGTACAGGGTCCTCGGGCCTCCTGGGGCCGGGACGTGCCGCCTCCTACTGTGTAGGAGCCCCCGCTTCCCAATACAGCCATGTCCGCCCCCCAGCCGCTGCCTGACGTTTCTCGCGGAGCGGGAGGGACAGGAGGGCGGGCCGCCCGGCCCTCTGGGTGCCTGTGCCCCTGAATGTCTGCCTCCACTTCACCTCAGCCCCCAGGTCTCTCCGGAGTAATTGGCTTGGCGGCTGTCCCACCGGGGTTAATCAGGAAAGGTTTCCTGAAGGAGGCAAGAGAAGACATGGTGTGTGGGGATGAGCCAGGCCCCAGGAGAGCCGTGGTACCGCTGGGGGTGTGGCGGAAGGCGCTCAGCAGGTTTCTGAATAGAGGGCAGGCACCTTTCACGGCCTACACTATGGGGTGGGAGAGGGAACTTTTGGAGAAATAAAACGAAGCTGCTGCGTGATTTGGATTTCACATCAGCACATCTTGTCCTAAAGAGAACTTGGGTTAAGTGTTTGGGACACTTGGGCCTGCAAAACCAAATAAAACCTGGCCAATGATGAGCCCTGTTAGAAGAAAGGGTTTGCCCCAGCATCTGTTTCCCTGTGGGGCAGCTTCAGCTGCAGGCTAGCCCAGGGCTGGAGCGACTAGCCTGTGCCCATCTCGAGGCTCCATTGCACTGGCTGCAGATACCTACACAGTATCCTGAATACCAAAGGGAAGGATGGCCCGGAACGCTTGTCCCACCCACCACCCTGGCGCAAGGAGCAGTAAGGCCTCTCGCGGGTGCTGGCTGAGCGGGAGGATTTGCAGATCTGGAACTTGGCAGGCGCGTGGCGGCGGTGTCCACCCTGCGGCGGCTCCAGGCCACTTGCCGTTGGCGCCTCCTAGAGGTCCGCCGGAGCCCTGCACCTGAATCAGCCGCTAGATCCCTGGCTGCTGGCTGCTTCTTGAGAACTATTTGGCTAATAGTTCTGGGTGTTTGTTTTCCTCTTCCCTTAAGAGGAACTTAAGATTACCCTTGAGATCATAACTCTGCCTTAATCCTGTTTCCTCATCTGGAATAAGAGAGTCAAGAGGCTCAAGTACTATAATGTGTAAATGCTTTGTGAAAGAGAAATCTTGAAATGGTGGTTCCTCCCGCCTCACTAGCTAGGCTGTGTATACCAGATTTTATGGTCTGTTTTTTACTAGACACCACTTTCCCTTTGTATTGTAAATTCGACTTAGAGGCTTTTTCTTCCCCTCAAGGTTTTTGACGTGCAGAATGTCTCTTAACACGGCTCAGCAAAGCTTATGCTAACTGACCAAGGGTTCTCCAGAGTTTAACGTCTCTTAGCTTGGCGGTTTTTTTATTTCTCTTTGGGAACCTTACTTAGGATACACCGGGCTGTTGCCGGTATCCTAAACAGTGCTGGGGCACGTGGAAGAAGAGGATATGTTTTTCAGTCACCTGGTTGCATTAGTCTCTTTAAAACGTTAGTGCTAGCGTAGAGGACATCTGTAAATGGTGCATGAAGATCATGAATTCTAGGCTCTCTCCAAAGATGAAGAGAGGGAGAGCAAGATGGTTCAGTAAGTGCTTGCCTGGCCAGTCTGGCCGCCAGAAGCCTATAGTGGGAAGAGAACCAACTCTCAAAAGTTACATTCAGACCTCCACATGTGCGCCATTGGCTTCCACCCCATCTCTCTCTTGAAAAGAAGGGAGAGGCTTGGGATGTAGCTCTCTTGGTAGCATGACGAACATGGACTGATACTGAACCCTCAGTTATAATCCAAGCAGTGCACACAACGCAGAGTGCTAGAGCTGCCTGCAGTTCCTGTACCCAGGAAGCTGAGGCAGGTTTGCTGGGAAATGGACGGCAGCTTGGACTGTGATGGAAGATGGTATCAGAAAGGAAAGAAGCAAGGAAAAGACAGGAAGAAGGCAGAAAAGGTTGCAGTGTCGGCTCAAACAGCAGGTTTGAGACTTCCCTAAGCTGAGAAATCCAAAACCAACCCCAAAGGAAAAAAATAGGTATGCAAAGAACTAAAATGGACCACTCAGCACTGGAGAGGCAGGGAGGTGGAGCTCTGTGAGTTAGGCTAGCCAGGGCACCACAGTGAGACCTCGTCACCAAAAATAAATAAATAAATAAAAGCTAAAATGGAAGTACAGTCATTCCCCAGTGTCTGTACGGGACTGAGTGATTCTAGGACACTTACCACATCTTTTTTTTTAAATTTATGACTTATTTATCTTTATTTTATGTGCATAGGTGTGAAGGTGTCAGATGCCCTGGAACTGGATTTTCAGATAGTTGTGAGCTGCCATGTGGGTGCTGGGAATTGAACCTGGGTCCTCTGGAAGAGCAATCAGTGCTCTTAACCGCTGAGCCATTTCTCCACTTACCACATCTTAAGAAAAAAAATCAGGATATGCAAGTTCCTCAAATAAAATGACATGGTACATGCACATGATCCATACCCAGCCTCTGGTATGCTTTAAATAATCTCTAGATTATTTAAATGCCTAAGTTAAATGATATCACTTTTGTGTGTTTCTTCTGAGACTAACTCCAGTATGCAGTAGATGCTGCCCTTGAACTGATCCCCTGCCTAGCCTAGCAAGTGCTGGGATTGCAGTTGCAAGCCTTCATGTGAGTAATTGTGCCATACTGTTTAGGAAACAATGACAAAAAAAAATCTACATGTTCAGCACACATACAATTTTTCTCCTTGGTTGAATGCGTAGGTGTGGAATATATATGTGTGTGTGTGTGTGTGCGCGCACGTGTGCACACGCAACTACACATAAAATAGAAAATCAAACCCAGGGCCTTGCACATGGAGACAAATGTTGTTAGAGGTTTTCACTCTTTTGGGGGGCCCACCACCCAGCTCCCAAATAAATACACACAGAGGCTTATTGTTACCTAAAAATACCTGGTCTTAGCTTAACTTATTTCTAGCCAGCTTTCCTGAACTTAAATTATCCCATCTACCATTTGCCTCTGGGCTTTTTTTTTTTTCTTCTGTATATCTTACTTTCCCTCTTCCTCTGTGACTGGACATGTAGCGTCCTCCTCTCCTTGTTCTCTTGCTCCTCCATTCGCTGAGATTTTTCCTATTTATTCTCTCTGCCTGCCAGCCTCTCCTGCCTTGCTATCACAATCATATTATTAGACCAATCAGGTCTTTTAGACAGGCAAAGTAACACAGGCTACATAGAGTTAAACAAATGCAACATAAGAGAATACAACACAACCTTTAGCCTGCATGTATTTTTAACACACTAAAAAAAAAAAGAGAATACAACACATCTTTGCATCGTTAAACAAATGTTCTACAGCATAAATGAATGTAACACATCTTAAAGTAATATTCCACAACAGACAAATGCTCTATCACAGAGCCACAGCCCACCTTTAATCTTGGGATTCTTTGCAGGCAGCAGCAATGTACAGGTCCGTGTCCTGCACGTATTCATTTATCAGTATTTTAAGAGAATGTTTACTTCTTTCGCTGGGAACCAAGAGCAAGCGAAAGGAACTATGTTGCAGTGAGAGCAAGTCCTTGGACTCTTCTATGAAACCTTTGCAGTTTAATCTCTACAAACCCTTCCACCCACACATGTGTTTCTCTGTGCAGCCATGGGGGTTCTGGATCTCACTCTGCAGGCCAGGCTGGCCTCAGACTCACAGATCCGCCTGTCTCTGCCTCTGGAGTGCTGAGGTTAAAGGTGTGCATCACCACCACCTGGCTAAATGTTATTTCCTTTGAGTTTTTGTTTGCATGTAATGTATGTCTGTGTACCCCCCGAGTACCTGGTGCCTAGGGAGGGCAGAAGTAGATTTGAATTTCCTGGCGCTGGAGTTACAGTGAGCCACCCTGTGGGTGCTGGCAGTTGAACCCAGGCCCTCTGGAAGAGTGTCAGTGCTCTTAACCGCTGAGCCACCTCTCCAGTCCTCAGTTTCTTTTTTTTTCAGGAATGGAAGAATCATATGATAACAGGGATTTGTAAAGCATGTAAATATGTAGGCTTAAAGTGAGCAGGTTAGCTGGGTGCGTGGTGGTCTGATGTTATCTCGCGGCCCTTGGAGTCTGAGTCAGGAACATCGTGAATCAAGGCAAGTCTGGACAACACAGTCTCCCTCACCTCCTTCCCAAAGCCCCACAATTAAGTGTTCTGTAGGACATGGTTATTTGCCCAAAATAACATAGGCCACCACCAAAAATGCAATTCATTATTACTCATGAAAACTTCCTACTGGCAGATTATAATAGTGGTAATAAATTAGGGGATAATTTGCAGATGTTAGTGCTGAAAAAGAAAGTACAGACAGACATGGCCTCCTTTAAGTTCAATTATGGAATCTGTTCGGTGGATTTTTATTTTCGTTCTTTTCAGAGTCTCATGTATCCCAGGCTGGCATTGAATCTCTGCCCTTCCTGTCTCCCCTTCCTAGATACTGCTATGATGGGAGGTGTCTCTACTGCTGGGAGGTAGTAGGTGTCTCTACTGGCTTTAGAAGTCACAGGATCGGCCTGCTTTGTTATTAGGAAAAGCAGAATATGACAGCAGCCTCATCCTTGGGGAATCTCTGAGCTAATTTCTCAGAGGCATCCTAGGAGATTATGGGGAAACCAAGGCCCCAGCAGGCTGAGGCCATCAGGTGTCTAAGGCTTTGGGGACCTGAGACTCAAAAGGTTCCACAATCAAAAGAGCTTCAAAAGCTGTTCAGCATCTTGGGTTCTTTGGGGGCAGAGTCCCAAGAGCCTGAACTATCTCGTACTCATTTGGTGCTTCTTCATGCTGCCCGCCCTCCAAGCTTTGGAACACACAGGCTTGAGTCACCGCCTCTTGACTCAGCAGGTGACCCTTTAGAACCCTAAGTCCAAGTTCCTAAGTCCTAGTCCCTAAGTTCAAGGCTATACAGGCAGAGCACAGCTCAGGTGGCCAAGTGCTACCTGCCTGAAGCTTTCCATTTGATTCTCAGCACTGTGTTAATGGACGCAGTGGTTGTAATCCCAGCACTAGGCGGGCTGTGGATAGAGTTGGGACCAGAAGTTCAAGATAATGCTAGGCATTGAGTTTGAGGCTAGCCTGGGAAATAGGAGACCCTGTCTCAAAACTGAAA